AAATGCGTCAGTCGTGCAGAGGTTAGGTCACCGGACCTCGAAAACGTGAGGGTTCGGATTACGGAGTAAGAGGCTCAGTTTGACTTGCATTGGTTTTTTGTAAGGCCGGTCCCAGCGATTGTAGGTCTGAGCTGTAGCTCACCTAGCGCAAGCCGTCTGCGAGTCAGCACAGCCGCACTTAGATCTAGGTCTAGATCTAGATAGATTCTTAGGTGAATGCTTTAAATCTAGATCTAGATCAGATGTTAATTATTGTTATTTATATCTAGAATCTAGGTCGAGGGATAGCCCTCTGCGTCTCAACTTCTGAATTATCAATCTAGATCTAGATTCTGGCCTAGAACAACACAGGCTTACGAATGTAAATAAACAGTCGAAACTAGGTCAACCTCTCGATTCGACATTTTACTGTATGATAACGTGCATTTCTCGGGACTTTGTGGTCAAATGTTGGTGCTAGCATCAATATGTAATAGTGAAGCCCCTAATAATACTTACTTCATGTTGATTTTATAGATCTGTGAAGAATTTCAGACGAAAATGAACACGAAGCCAGCTGCGTGCGAGACATCTGAGACAAGTTTTAAAACACTGTTGAACAGCACGTCTGACGTGTCGCGCACCTTAGCTGACAGACAGACCGCACAGCCACGCTACTCAAGCACACGATAATGGTATACGTCCATTTGCACGGTGCGAGCTAGGTAGGCGAGCTACAGGTCAGACCTGCAGAGCCACTCTGGGACCGGCCTAAGTGTTTTACGGAGCTCCGAACCGCATAGGGTCATATTGAGCGCGCAGGGCACATTAAACATTGTGAGTGAGTCAGTGTTTTATCATAAGTGCCTGAAAAAATGCCAGCTCGCACTGACTACTTCGTTGAAAATTGAGAAAGAAGTGCTAGGTTTTTGGTTCGTCTTTTTTTTCCCCCTCTTGTAAGTGATTTATGGCGCTCCCAACTGCACAAGGTCAGATGAGTGGGCGGGACACATGTAACATTTTCAGTTGGTAGGAAATTTTAAATTGTGCCCGGGTGGCGGTCGAAACCTACTCTTACCGATTTTAGACCACCAAGGGATCTTTTATGAGCGGAACTTGCACACGGGACATCTGGGATTTTTAACCTTTGTCCGACAAGGCTAGGTGTAGATCTTACCAACAAGAATATTAGTTGTGTGGTTAAAAGACAGCAGTAAGAAAGAACCAGGAAGTAGCAGTAGAAAGGTTGCAGAAAGAGTCAGGAGCCCAGACGAAGGGCCAAAGGAGGTAATTGGGGACGGGAAATGAAAAGCTTCAGTGGGCTTGAGCAGCCTCGTGGTGTCAGGGTGATCTGGTTCTTGCATAACTGCGCAATAAGAAACACGGGAATGTCAGCCTTTGGCGTCTCAGAATAATGGCTGTAAATGTAAATGAAAGCAGGTGTCTGCAGTGCAGGCTACACACTTTAGAGGTATAGAAAAAGGGCGGAAGGGAGGGGGTGGGAAACGGAGAGAGAGAGAGTCGGGGTGGGGAGGGAGAGGGGATGAGGTGGGAGGGGGAGAGAGAGAGAGTGTGCGGAAGAGAGAGAGAGAGAGAGAAAGAGAGAGAGAAAGAGAGAGAGAAAGAGAGAGAGAGATGGAGGAAGAGAGAGAGAGTGTGTGTGTGTGAGTGTGTATGTGTGTGTGTGTGTGTGTGCGTGATCTTTGTATGTGGTCTTTGTGTGCGTGTGTGCGTGTGTGTGTGCGTGTGTGTGTGTATGTGTGTGTGTATGTTTGTGACTGTGGTCATTGTGTGTGCGTGTTTGTGTGTGCGTGTTTGTGTGAGAATATGTGTACGTGTAGGTGTGTGTGAGT